ATTCTTTGAAAAACTTGAAGTTTTTAACAAATTTTAGAAATCTGAGATTATTTGTCAAAATCACATTTTAATTGGAGACTTGCTCGCTTTTGTTATTTTAATAACTTGAGATTATTTTGTTGATCTAAAGAATGATGCAAGAAAGATAACTATGTTTAAACAGGACACATTAAAGAGAACTAAATGGAAAGAGAGAGAGAGAGAGAGAGAGATCCATGATTATACACCCTAAAGATACCACGAGAAAAATGATCTATCCCCATATTTGTTAACTGTGTCCTTTTTATCTCACACAAAACTCTCTTGTTAGATCCCATACCCTATAACGTTTTTCATAATAATTCATATAGTTCCATGAGTCCTACGGCTTAATATATGAAAAATGATATATAAAGAGTAGATATAGCCTTAACTGATCAGAAATCACACTGATCCAATTATTTTTGTCCTTATTTTACTTGGTCCTTAGTGAAAAGAATTACATGAAAAGGAACTAAAAGCATATTTTTACCGAATTTTCATTACGCATAGGTATTCTAAATGCGTAATGGAAAAGTTAAGAATTTAGAGACATGGGTTCAAGAAGCAGTGACTTCATTTGGTCCTTAAGAGTAGAACCAACTGAATCAATCTCAGATTGGTACATGACTTGGACCATTCGAGAGCTATTCAAGGCCATCTTTGTGATGGAGTGTGGGAAAGGACTTGGGTCGAGGCATTCTTGGTTGAGTTTCTTCCACATAGTGGCAATCAAGTCTCTTGTGTGTTGTTTAGCGTTTTCTTCGGTTTCATCCTTGTGTTGCTTGATGTAGCACTCGATGTAGGAAGGATCATATCCCCTCTCCTTTTCATCCTAGCAGCAAATGTTGCCAAGTTCAAAATTGTTAATCACCAAAAATACAAAACAAGATACAACGACCTGAGAAAGAAATTTATTAGTTAAGGAATCGGGATTGGGTCAAGGCGTTAGCAGTTCCGTTTTGTTAGCACTACATCTTAAGTTTGTTTGATATCAAAAACAAAAAAAAAAAACGGAAAGAAGAGAAATTTGTTATTTACTTCATGAAATTTATGAGTTATTGCATGATAAGTCTAAAGCTGAGAAATTACAATAGAAGCCGTCCATTTGGTTTAATTAGAAATGTCCGCCCCTACGTTTTTGCTCTTTCTTCAGAAACTAAGAATTACTCCTTGCACAACAGAGTTCTAATCGGCGAGGTTCATTAGGAACTAAAAATCTCCTTATTTTTCTGCACTTATTCTTCAAGTGAAAGCAATGAGACGCTTTTAGTTTTTTGGATTTTCAATTACAAATCCTTACAATTAAGAAAATAAATCAGTAATAAGACATTTTAAATTTAATTACAACTGTACCCCTGTAAAGTACAGAAAATTCGTTATTCAAAAAAATAAGCAAAGTATTCTAGTTAAAAAAAATTCGCATTAAATTTAGGGATTATATACGGTGAGACCCTATAAAGTGGTCGCAATTACTTACAACCATTCGATGTGAAATTTGAGAGCCTAAATGTGCCACAAAGTAGTTTGAGAAAATTTCTTTTGAAATTTGAACTTGGTCAATTGAATAATTGCAGCCAATTTATTTTACATCCAATGGTCAAGATTAATGTGACCACATTGTACAAAAGGTAAATGTTCTTATTGTGTACTTTCCTTTAAATTTATTAGAAAGTTAACCGTATAAAGTGTAGTTAGATAAATGGAATAAAGTGTAGTTAGATAAATGGAAGGGAGAGGGGGAGAGAGAGACTTATAAAAGATATGGTCAACAAAAGAGAGTGACATGTAGGGGCAGAGGTTGTAGTGGGTAGCACACCTCTAGGGCTGAGAATTTAGTCGATTCAGATCTGAAACCCGAAATTCGGATCCTATCAGATCCGATATACATCCAAAATTCGGATTTGGATAAAAATTTATGTCCGAATAGTAATTTGGGAGCCGGGTAGAGTAGATCCAATTCGGGTCCGATCCGGCTATTTAATATATATATATATATATAGAGAGAGAGAATGTATAATTTTTGTAATTATATTTTAACTTTATGACGTACAACTTTAGAACTAATCCGAATCCAAAATTGGATCCAGATCCTCTATATAGTTTCTGATTTGGATCTGAATAGATCCGGATCTGATTCTCAACCCTACAAAACCTATACTTCTGCTTTAAAAACTACTGAAAAATTAAAAAACAGAGTTGCCTTAATTAAAAAAAAAGAAAAAAAGAGTGACGGGTGGTAGTTACTCATACGTACCACAGTGGCTGACAAATCATCCCACAGGCGCAGTATTGAAGCCGGTGAAAGAATGAGTTGAGAATTGTGGCTTGCAAGTTCCACAGTCTCCCGCGTTACGTGGGGACTTAAAAGAAGGAAAGCATGAACTAACGCCACGTGTACACCTGAACTCGTCACTCCATTCTTCAAATATTCTTCTTTGCTTGGCACGTACCCACAGTTAAACCATGTCGCTTCCACTAAGAATGCCTCACATAGGGAAGTCCACTACAAGTAATACTATTAGTACCCACTTAGCATTCAAAAGAAAATTACGATTTCCTCATTCATTTTGATGAATATACACGTCAAAAATGAAGGTTGTGCTTTGCAATATTAAACAATCGAATTAAGGTGCATCTCTAAACTTTATTACAAGATGTAATTTTAGTGTTAAAAAAATTCTTAGGATGATTTGAAAATCTATTGTCATTTCTTATCATAGAGTTTTAAACTAGATATTTTTTTCAAATCAACTACATTTATAAAGATATGAAAATCTTGAAAATGGACCATCCGGATAATGTGTTGGAATATGTACTTTTTTTTAGACTCAAAATATTTTTTATTTTCATAGCCATCCTTTTCGATATCGAGATGATCAAGTAGATGGTTTTCCAACATCAAAAGGAGCTTTTTTTTTATGATTTTCTATGTGAACCTTAATTACCATGGTTGCAAAGAGTAATAAAATATGAAATTGTATACAGTAAGGCCGTTTATCTACATTTCAAGAAGGTCATAGTGACTACTAGCCATTAAATGTCAAATTGGTTGGTTTGAGATGTATCACAAAGATCGAGATTTTTTCTTTTTCTCTTTTTGATCTTTAAGCATTAAACATAAATAATATGTTTGTATACTTTTCATTAGATATATTTGATAATGATAATTACGGAACTTAAAAAAGTGAGAGAGAAGCTGGTTGGAGAAGAATAGTACCGCTTGTCTCAAGTGGCCCATGACATTAAGCCCATGATTCTTGAATATCTTAAAAGATATATCACTGGCGACATCATATAACACTAAATAACATGTTTTCATGTACTCAGGTAGCCCACGCGTAACCATTGGATCCCATCTACAGAAACACAAGACGAGAACGAAGAAGAATGGGATCCAGTCAAAATGGAATGATAAATGTACTCCAAACTAATTTTCCAGCTTCAAATTTTATGGTCCCGGGTAGAAATTGATTTTAGAGCCATCATGAAGACTTTTGATGCTCAAAGTGCTTTCTTGATAAAGATTCGAGGTGAGGCTTTACGTAGTTCATAAGGCCTAGGCCTTACAGAAACCGCATCTTTTAAAAACATATCAAAGCATATATTTATAGAAATTTGCGTATACCTTTTTATTGCATCCGTAAATTGTTGTAGTTCATCTAAGGTTCCATAAATGTCGTAAATATCATCAATGATATGAATGAAGGCTACGACTTTGGTGAGATCAACTCTACCCACAGAAAACTCAGACTCCGACGAAATAACAACAGGCCACATGAACCATTCATGTATTTTATCCCGTGCAAATGTTAGCATATCTGCCAAACCCAGGTCCCTCCACCACCTGAAAATATTGTAGGGTAGTTCAGTTATCGGAATCGAATTTGCGATATTGCACTACGAAATGTCAGCTGTTACGAGAGACATTAGGTACGATAACTCAATTTCACGTGAACGAGTACCTTGTGACTTCTTTCAACTCCTGCTTATGCATTGCTTGCACCATATTGAAATCCATTACTGCAAATTCTAACAAATCCTGGTTTCTACCAAGGTCTCTTTCAGAGACTTTTATGTAATACATGGATTCTAACCTTGGCATGCGAAAGTGCATGGGCAGCTCGAGCGCATGCTTGACAGTTTTAGCAAGTTCGGGCTCGAGTCGAGACCCCGATGCTTTAAGGTGCTTAAGACTGAAAGCTAAAGCTTCATCCATGTACTCTTCTCCTTGTATGCCAAGGTGTGAAGCTTCATATAGACTCAAGATGCCTATAACATCTTTGCTCAAGCATGAATTGAAATTTCCACTTTCATCCTTGAATTTGTTGAACACATCTGTACATAAAAAAAGGGGTGTCAAAACAATTAAATTACATGGAACCAAATCAATTTTCTTGGCACAAATTAGACTAGAAAATTTACATTCGTATTTCAAAAAATGTAAACGCGTAGCAATTGAGGAAGCTTAACATGATAAGTTTTTAGGTAAATGAGAGGGGAAAATCGATTACCTACCCATATTCGTTAATATAAAAAAACTACATTAACTACAAATGGAGATCCATTGGTGAGGAATATTCATGACATCAGACTTCCAAAGGAGAGAAATAAAATCGGGTGGTCCTAACAAACTATAATATAGATTACTCGCCTGATGATACTCTATATCCATGCTGTCTGAGGAGTCGAAATCGTAAAGAAACAACATATAGCTCAGCATCGCAGTCTCCTACGAAACCACCCTTGTAAATGCATTCCAATCTTTCTCGGATTTCAACGTCAAAATGGTAGGAAATGCCAAGCCGTTGGATGTTGTCGATTAAAACCATGGCTTCTATGTCATCAATAGTGGCACTAATCATCTTCATCAATTTTTTTTTCAGGTTGTAGAACCGGGAAATATTGAAATCAGCCTGGAAATCAGTTATCCGTAAGTTATGGTCAATCGACTTATAGTGAATCTATAAGTTACGGTCAATCTACTTATGATGAAAGGAAGCATTACATTGGCCCCATTTTTTAGAGACATCACAATATAAACGAAAGGATACATGAGGCCGTCGATATTCGAGACATGAGATTGGGCCCTTTTTTTTCTAATTCCAAATACGACATTGGCATACTTCGTAAGTACGAGAAAAAAAAAAAAAAAAGACTCAACTTTTCCTTTGCAGTCTCCCCAAACAAAATCTATTTTCGTAATTTTAATGAAAATTCTTTTTTTTTTTAGCAAATACCTCCCAAATCATATATATGATAAAAAAGACCAAAATATCCCTCAAAATTAAAAAGCTTCTCTCTCTTCTTTCCACCCACGATCTTTTTTTAATGCGGTCCAACAAAATTGGAATGTGGTCCGTCCGGCACTTTGTAACCGCATTTTGGCACTTGACAACAATGGTCTGACAACTGTTCCAAGATCAAATGTGGTCCAGCAATATCGGAAACCGGTCCGACAGCTTGTGAGGGCGGTCCTACAATTTTTAGTCTCGGTCTGGTGGTGATATTTGGTGGTCCGGCAATTAGTGTAATTTTGGCTTTTTTTTTTTTTGACAGTCTACATTAATATTTGACTTTTTTATGGAAAAATGGTATTTTTGTCTAAAAAAATGACTATTTTGACTTGAAGGTATTTGCTAAGAAAAGTTTTTTTGAAGTAAAAATTAGAGAAAAAAAGGTTGGCTGAAGGGAGACTACAAAGAAAGTTGAGTCGTGGGGGTATTTGCAAAACTGGAAAGAAACAACCAACAAAAACAAAGTGTAATCACAAGAAGGATGACTGGAACGTCATAAAAATCTAAAACAAGAGGGGGAACCCAAGCTGTCCCTCAACTCGTAACCGTTAAAGTGAAGGTCCTCATTGGACAAATCATATGAAATCTCTTTCATATTTTCTTTTGTTAAAACTCGACTCGGGGCTCTTCTTACCGGGCCTTTACCCATTGAGAAAGAGAGAGAGGCGACTGGTGAGAGAGAGAGATTATGGGGAACGAAAGTTTATGTGTGAGAGTAACCCAACGTTCCATATTTGTATTTATAGGAGTGAGATTGAGAGCGAGAGTGGAAATGTGAGTGTGAATGTGAATGCTTCAACTTGTAAAGTCTTAGGTGGCTGCGTGGTACAGGACGGTTGCCTCGAAATAAGACCGCACCCCCAATTTCCACGAAAAACCAATAAAAATCGAGGAAGAGGACGGTGCCAACGACTCTCGTAACTACTCTGGGTGGGTATATTGGGTTATACGTGTATACATCGATTTGTGTATGGTCCTCAAATGATCGCCATACAACACATTTTTTATAAGCTCTAAATGTTGCAATCCCATAAAAGCTTAATCTCAATGCTAGATTTTTATGACGTAGTGTACAGGGTCCTGACCCCACAATCCTCCATGGTGAGTTTTATACCACAAAAAATGTGGAGAACTGGCCCAGGTCGTGACTTTAATATAGATTATAGACTATTGTCGGGTGCTGGCCCATATCTAAACACCACCCTTTGTTTTTTTTTCCTTGTGATTTTTTTTTAAATCTCTCCCCGTGATTTCCCCCAAACCCCCTCTATCTCTAAACCCCTCTCTCTCTCGCCACTCATCCAACCTCCCTCTTTCCTCTCACCCCAAACCCTTCTCTGTCTGTCTCTCTCTCCCCTATCCCCACCTTAACCACTCTCTCTCCTCTCGTTCCCAAATCCTCTCTCTCTATCACCGGGCCCCAACCTCTCTCTCCTCTCGCTTCCAAACCCTCTCTCCTTTTAGAGCAAAAGCTCTGATATGGGTATCAACCATAGTTACCGGAATCCGAAATCTCGCTCTGGCATTCCTCAGCCGGGATCTCGCTCTCGCTAAAAGTGGGATCTCGATCCCATACACAACGGATTTCACCCCCTCTACTTCACGGATCTCGCTCGCATTGTCTGACGGAACACACCACCAAATTTTATATCATGTAATTTTGGTGTTAAAAATTCTTAGGATTATCTAACAATCTATTTTCATATTTAATAAAATACTTTTAGACCCAAAAATGGTTAAAATCATGTAGATCTATAAACATATGAAAATTCTTAAAATGGACGGTGTTGATAATATGTTGCAAGATGCACAAGTTTTAGTAGTCAAATTTTTTTTGTTTCTTTCATATACTCATACATCTTGATGTCAAGATGATCAATTAGAGATTTTTTCAACATTCAAACAACCTTTTCCGATGGATTTTTGGAGTGCATCCTTAGTTCTATATATATATATATATATATATATATATATA